TATGTTGAAAGTTGGTTTTGCTAAGAATAAATAACACTGCCATCTTCACCAGTTATAAGATGACCATCATCGCTTGCACCATAAATGTGACGCTAACTAAACTGGATGTACTGTTTGTTCGGAAACATATTTTATATGTGGTCGTTATATGCCACCGTGCAACTTAAAATATTTTTCATCTGGAATATCTCGGAGTAAATTTGGGTCGCAGAGATCAATACTGTTAATAGATCATTTTAAATCCTGAACAGGAAAATATTTGGAGAGTATTTGTCAGGAAAACGTAATATCATTAACTATGCTCAAACGCCGACCTCAGAATTCTCAATGGGAAAACCAGCGGGAGACAAAGTCACCAAATTTGATAGGTTTTGTAAATATTGAAATTTTGAGAAAAAATTTTTTTAATCGTTAAAGTCCACGTAGGCTATTTCCGCTCCACACCCCACCCCTGTCTTTTCTAAGTGTGGTTAATGTTAATGTCAAAGGGTGTCTGTAGTAGCGAGGAGATAGCAAACTACATTAATGACTCGCGTTTTCTTTTAGTTGCAACAGTAACAGTCCTTGCAATATGGCAAACTGATCCCAGATGGAAATGAGAATTCTGATTGGTCCCTGAGCGGTCCGAGGTTTGCACTACTGACCGCTAATATGCATCATTCACGAATTAGTTTCGGCGAATTGTTTTTCTTGAAAGTATTTCACAGAAGAAAGCAGTTTGTAATTAAGACAAAATCTCAAGGTTTTTTGTTTGTTTTTTTTGACATCATATTTGGTGGACAACTTGAGCTTAATTCTGACCGCTGCAACCTGAATTGAGGTAAATTAAACGTGAAATACTCACCTGCCGCGGTGTACCTGCAGGTTTTTCCATCTCCTGATAAAGGATGGTTACATGTACATGTGTAGGATCCTACAGTGTTTGTACATGAAGCTGAACGGTGGCAGTCGTGTACACCGCTGACGCACTCATCGATATCTGTGGGTAATTAAAGTAAGGAGTTTTCGTTGGTAGTTCTTTAGTTGTACTTAATCATAAATTTGATAGTACGTGTCGTGAATAGAGGCTCATCATGTCTATTAATAAATCTCTCAAGAGAAATAATCCTTGTTGTGGAGCGTTGTCATGGCAGCCATGTTGCCGCTCCTGGTCAACGGAACATGTTTGCGTATCAAAAGAATTCGTTTTCCAAAGAACGTATGAGAAATGTCATTTTTTGGGGGATCTAATATTGGTTTATACCCTTGAGGTTTTTTCCGTGAATAGAGCCAAAATAAACATCCACTCTTTTTTTTATGTTACATATGTACATCCAAAACGAGAGTGAGCTCATTCAAAATCATAAATATATTTTACATACTATAAATTAGTTACCGTGTGACACGACATTTTTCGTGAGTTCAATTTTTCGGATCGGCGATATTTTTGTTATTTGCGGAAACTAATTTTTGGGATTGTGAAAGACTGGTTTTTCGTGCTGGGTATCAAATTTTGTAATTTTCAGAAAGTGGCATTTGGTTCGCTCTTTGTTGCACTTTACAGTAAGCTGTAAGGCGCGGTAAGGCGCGGTAAGGCGCCGAAAGGCACGGTAGACTCATGCATGGTTAATGACCTCGTCTCAGGATCAAGCGGCTCGGATTCGAGACCTGGCCGGAGACACTGCGTTGTGTTCTTTGGCAAGACAGTTAACTTCTCCACCAAGGTGTTTAAATGGGTACCGGCGGACTAAATGTTGGGGTTAACCCTGTGATGGACTAGCGTCCCATAGAGGGGTGAATAGAAGTATTTGTAGTCGCTTCCTGCTATGCAAAAAGCGGGATAAGCTCCGGCCTGGTGGCATGGGCCACTTGGCTCGTATGCAGACTTCACCTTCACGGTAATCAAGTGGCCAGTCACTCTGAAATAATTACGTCCTGCCTCAGTGTGGCTGATAGTGCCTTCAGATGATCCTTTTCTGTCAAGTTTTAGCAACTACACCTGTCGTGTGCCATAAGCAATTTCATCGCTTTATTTAAAGGGACATTTGAAATAAATGGCATCACCAAGATTCTGCGTATGGGCTTTGTTTGTATAATTTCGACAATGGAGTAAAATTTTGCGGGGAAAATTATGATTTCGAATCGTGGAAAATGTGCAAAATGAAAATCGCAAAAAATTAGGACCAGAAATAACTCGTCCCACACTGTAGGTGAATAGCCTGATTTTCATGTAGCGTCATTTCATTTTGCAATGATTTTTTTTTAATCAATAAATTCTGTAGTGCTTGTTAAGCAGATATAACTTACCAGTGCAATTTTTGCCATCGCCTGAATATCCAGGTTTACACGCGCAAGTGTAAGATCCACGAGTATTGTTACAAACAGCATTCACATCACAGCTATGAGAGTTTGAAGAGCACTCGTCTATGTCTAAAACAAGATTAAAGGAGTAAATATGGATAAACGTTGAGTTATCGTTAGTCTGACCATTTTACCTAAGAGGCATACAGCCTGAGGACAATCTGTTGAAAATTTACGGTAAGCACAGAATGTCTTAATGAAACAACGATTAATTTTACTGTCCACTCTCTGACTCATTCTCTACTTTTAGATGATTTATATTACCCATGTTATAAACCACTAATGCAGACTTCTACATTCTTAAAAAAAATAAATTTCTTAAAAGGTTAAACTTTTTTTTATTAGCCTTCTCATTGCACAAGAGCGGTTGCTTAGAGTTTTTTCTAAGTCCATCAATGCAGGAAAAAATTGCTAGATTGTGAAAATGAAGTGAGATTGTTATTTCATTCAGAATCAATATCAAATGTATTCATGTCGGATTTGTTGTTTCTTTGTTTGTTTGTTTGTCTCTTACCGTTGCAAGGTTGTCCGTCTCCGGTATATCCAGCTCTACACTTACAGGAATATGAGCCCACGGTATTCACACAATCTGCATTCACGTCACAGTTATGAGTGTTGGTGAAGCATTCCTCTAGATCTACAAAAATTAAATTGGGAAAAAAATGAAATAGCCTTCAAATGCATGAATAATGTTACAGTACGGGTTTGTACCAAATTATTTTAAAAATTAACCATGGAACCTTTTTGAGCGCGAAAGATTATCCTGACTAAATTCTGGGGAGTTTACTATTTTTTATTAGTAGATTACAATGTAAATTAATCGCATTAAACATGAGATTTATCACCTGTAAAGCAAGTGAAGTTGAAGCAGTTATCGCACGGCACGTCATTCCAAGTGTATCCATGCCTCACGCCAAGAGTGTGCACACAGTCTTCGTTGTTCCAGTTGTTTGGTTGCTTTGGAGCCCAGAACCTAAAACTACTAATTTCTTTGTTTGTCCACACAAAAGAGCCTTCAACACTGCGGTCATTCAGCCCTATCCATGATCTAT